AATTAGGGGTAGTAGTATGAGTAGTAGTAGTAAAAGTAGTAGTAGTAGTAGTAGTAGTAGTAGTAGTAGTAGCAGTCCCTAGGAATCCGGGCAACCCCTAGGGAATCAGTGAACCCTGAGAATCCGAAAGAATCCTACGAATCTTTCGGGAACTCTTGGGCATCCCTACGGGATCTCAGGAAAACTTGGAAATCCCGGTCGCTGATCCCATCCCACACAAATCCCATACAGCCTGGTAGGGCTGGGGTCGGCTCCGGTTGGATTCGTATAGGGTTGGAACCACTCCCCCCTGGACGGGGCGTAGCCCACCCCCAAGGGGGGACCGAAGGCCGTTCGGGAGAGGGGGGGTGCTGGAATGCTGGTTTGTGTGTGGGGGGGGGGGGGGGCGACCTTCAAACCCGCATTGTTCAACACCAACAACAACAGCAACAACAACCACAACAGCAACAACAACAACAACAACAACAACAGTAGCAGCAGCAGCACAACAACAACGAGGACGACGCTGACACGGGTGCTGACGACGACAACGACGACGACCGAAGACCAAAGACCGAACACCGAAGACCGAACACCGACGACGACGACGGGGGGCCGAAGGCCGTTCGGGAGGGGGGGGACTGGAATGCTGGTTGCTGGGGAGGGGGGGGGCGACCTTCAAACCCGCCTTCTTCAACACCAACAACAACAGCAACAACAACCACAACAGCAACAGCAACAGCAACAGCAGCAGCAACAACAACAACAACAGCCAGCAGCAGCAGCACAACAACAACGAGGACGACGCTGACACGGGTGCTGACGACGACAACGACGACGACCGAAGACCGAAGCCCAAAGACCGAACACCGCAGACCGAAGACCGACGACGACGACGACGACGCGTTCGGGACACGACAAGCGTCGAGCGGGTCGGGCGGGCGGATCACTGCGGCGCTCGGGTCGGTCGGGCGTGCGGGACGTGCAACGTGGGCGGGCGGACTGCACCTTTGTAAGGCGGGCGAGTCGGTCGGGCGTGGGGCACCTTTGAAGCAGCGGGCCCGCGGGCACGAAGCACTGAGCGGGCAGCCAGCGTGCAAAGCGTACGGGGGACGCTGGAATAAGGAACGAAGGCGCTCGTCTGGCCACGGCGGGCCTGGGCCACGAAGCGGTTCCCAAAAGCTCTAGAGCTGCGGAGCGGCCAGAAGCCAGAGCGCCTCGTGAGCCAAAGGTGGGCTTCACTGCAGCGCCAGGACTGCAGGCTTCGCTCGGTGACGGAGCAAGGTTGGTGGAGAGACAGAAAATAGGGACGCGACGGCGACAGCGACGACTGCGACAGGTGGGAAACTAAACTGGAGGGACGAGTGGGACATTCAACTCGCGCGATGCGGCGACAAGACTGGGGCGAGATACACCGTGGCAGCAGTGGGAAGACAACGACGACAACGGACGTGACATTAGCGCCGGTGGGCGGGCAGCACATGAAATGGGATCCTCGCTCGTTGATGGGACAAGGTTCGTCGTCGTCGTCGGCAGTGTCAGTGTCGTCATCGTCCACGTCAGCGTGGTCGTCAGCAGCGTCATCCTCGTGTTCGTCGTCGGCGTTAGCGTCGTTGATGGGACAAGGTTCGTCGTCGTCGTCGGCAGTGTCAGTGTCGTCATCGTCCACGTCAGCGTGGTCGTCAGCAGCGTCATCCTCGTGTTCGTCGTCGGCGTCAGCGTCGTCGTGTTCTCTGTCGCGGTCGTTGTCGCGTTCGTGGTCGCTCGCGGGCGCGCAAGGGGCGTGCAAGGGCGGCGAATTCCGGCCCCCCCCCATCACTTTCGAAAGGGTCGGGGGGGAAGGTTCGAACCCCGACCCCACCCTTTGGGGGGAGAGTTCAGACTTTGGGAAATTTGTGAACTCTGAGATGGGGACTCTGGTCAGACCCCCCTCTAGGTAGCGCCAAAAGAAGGCATTGCTTCTGGCATCCAAGCATGTTCCGTTCAAGAACACGTGAACCTCTCAGGTACGGATTCGGACGCACACCCGCCAAATCACTCGAGTGAGGTTCCCAGCTGGCAGCTTTGCTGAACCGCCTCGGGACCCTCTTTGGGCTCACTCTGGCAGTCTGGTAGCCTTTCTGGGCCGTCTCTGTGGCGTTGAAGAGCCTGAGAAATACACCTGGCGGCTCGCCCGCCCGTGTGAGAAGGCTCGCCGCCGCCGCCCTTCCCGGCGGGCGAGGGGGCCTCGGAGAGCGAGCGGCCGAGGGGGGCGGGGCACGAGTGGGCGACGAGGGGTGGGGCGAGCAAGCGCGGCAGGGAGCTCTCGAGATCGAGATCCTCGTCGTCGTCGTCGTCGCCGTCGTCGTCGTCGCCATCGTCGTCATCGCCATCACTTCGTCGCGCTTAGGCGAGCGCAGCATACTGGGCTCGTCCGCGCTCGGCTGGTCCCGCATGGCACGGAGGCTCTGGGCCAGCAACTGCGGGACCTGGCAGGGAACGGGGCAGGAAGCAACGCCCGCGAGGAGGAATGGACATGTATGGACATACAGATCAACGGGTTTAGCTCCTCCCCCTCCTCCTCTCCTCCCCCTCCTCCTCCCCCTCCTTCCTCCTCCTCCTCCTCCTCCTCTCTCCCTCCTCCCTCCTCAAACATCATCATCATCATCATCATCAATCATCATCATCATCATCATCATCATCATCATCAGCATCATCATCATCATCATCATCATCATCATCATCATCATCATCATCATCATCATCATCATCATCATCATCCTCGCCCTAATCCTCCTCGCCCCTTTCCTCCTCCCCATTAAATCACCAACATAGTCAGCATACTTATCATCCACATAATCAGCAGGATCAGCATCACCATCATCATCAGCAGCATTAACACCACCACCACCATAATCATCATCATCATCAGCAGCATCATCAGCATCACCACCATCATAAACATCGTTATCATCATCATCGTCATAATCAGCATCCACATCGTCATCAGCAGCATCATCACCGTCATCAACAACATCATCATCATCATCATCATCATCATCATCATCATCATCATCATCATCAGCAGCATCACCATCATAATCATCAGCAGCAACATCACCATGATTATCATCAGCATCATCAGCATCACCATCCTCATCATCATCATCATCACCACCATCATCATCAGCAGCATCAGCATCAGCATCAACATCGCAATCATCATCAGCATCGCCATTATCATCAGCTGCAGCATCATCAGCATCAGCATCGTAATCATCATCAACAGCTGCAGTATCACCATGAACCTCATCATCAGCATCACCATCAGCAGCAGCAGCCTCACCATCATCATCATAATCATAATCATCATCACCACCATCATCACCATCACCATCATCACCATCATCATCAGCATCGTCATCATCATCACCGTCGTCGACGGCGTCGGCGTCAGCGTCATCCTCATCACCATCATCAGCAGCAGCAACATCACGCATACTCGGTACCCGTCATGGGGGGAAACGATTAATAAAAAAAAAAAAAAAAAAAAAAAATCTGGGGCGGACGATTAAAAAACTTGTTTCGCGGGCCTCCTCGCCCCCGCAATAGCGGGGGGGGCAGGGCAGGCAGACGGGGGGCTGACAATTCCGGGTTGCCTGGAAGGAAAGGGGGGGGGGGCACGGGGTGGCGATCCAGGGCGCGGGGGCCAGGGGGGTGGACGGAGTGATTTTTCAGGGCGAACTCGTCCTCCTCCTCCTCCTCCTCCGCCTCCTCCTCGTCCTCCTCCTCCTCCTCCTCCTCCTCCTCTTCCTCCTCGTCCTCCTCCTCCTCCTCCTCGTCCTCCTCCTCCTCTTCCTCCTCGTCCTCCTCCTCCTTTCCCTCCTCCTCCTCCTCCTCCTCCTTCTCCTCCTCGTCCTTCTCCTCCTCCTCGTCCTCGCAAACCCCTTCCCTCAACTACTTCCTAATTACCCCGTCCCCCCTCCGCAATCCTCCCCCCGCGGCCGCGGGTGATCAAGCGAGCGAAGGAGGACGAATAGAACATCAGTTCCCCCAAAGGGGCAAAAGCAAACGCAGGGGGGCGGACGATTAAATTATGCTAACGGAGTTCCCCACATAAAGAGATTAACGGTGCCGTGGGACCCATTTTCTTGATGCCCTCCTCGCTTTGGCGGGGCCCCGCTGGAAGGGGGGAGGGCTACGAAACCTGGCGAAGAGTAATGCTTTCCTCCTCGTCCTCCTCCTCCTCCTCCTCCTCCGCCTCTCTCCTCCTCCTCCTCTCCTCCTCCTCTCCCTCCTCATCCTCCTCTTCCTCCTCCTCCCCCTCCTCCTCCTCCTCCTCCTCCTCATCCTGTCCGCTCATGTTGAAAGGGTTTGCCGAGGCCCTGGAGGACCCCTTGGTGTGCACTAGGCTCAGCGACCTTGCAGACATGTAAGGAGCTCCAGCACACAGACTCTCAATCCCACCAGCCCTCTGGGCGTTGGTGGTTTCCTCGCTCAGGCGGGGCCTCCCTGAAGGGGTGGGAGGGGCACGAAACGTGTAAGGTGTATGGTTTTCCGATACCCTCTCGCTCAGCTCTCTGGAGGTGGGATGGTAAATAGTATGGTTTTCTCCTCGCTCAGGCGGGGCCTCCCAGGAGGTGGGGAGGGGCACGAACCATGTAAATAGTATGGTTTCGGAAACCCTCCTCGCTAGGAGGGGCCTCCCTGGAGAGGTGGGAGGGGCACGAAACCATGTAAATAGTATGGTTTTCGGATACCCTCCTCGCTCAGGCGGGGCCTCCCTGGAGGTGTGGGAGGGGCACGAAACCATGTAAATAGTATGGTTTTCGGATACCCTCCTCGCTCAGGCGGGGCCTCCCTGGAAGGGGGGAGGGGCACGAAACATGTAATAGTATGGTTTCGATACCCTCCTCCTCAGGCGGGGCCTCCCTGGAGGGGTGGGAGGGGCACGAAACCATGTAAATAGTATGGTTTCCGATACCCTCCTCGCTCAGGCGGGGCCTCCCTGGAGGGGTGGGAGGGGCACGAAACCATGTAAATAGTATGGTATTCCGATACCCTCCTCGCTCAGGCGGGGCCTCCCTGGAGGGGTGGGAGGGGCACGAAACCATGTAATAGTATGGTTGCCGATACCTCCTCGCTGTGGCGGGGCCTCCCCGGAGGGGTGGGAGGGGCACGAAACATGTAAATAGTATGGTTTGCCGATACCTTCCTCGCTCAGGCGGGGCCTCCCTGGAGGGGTGGGAGGGGCACGAAACCATGTAAATAGTATGGTATTCCGATACCCTCCTCGCTCAGGCGGGGCCTCCCTGGAGGGGTGGGAGGGGCACGAAACCATGTAAATAGTATGGTTTTCAGATACCCTCCTCGCTCAGGCGGGGCCTCCCTGGAGGGGTGGGAGGGGCACGAAACCATGTAAATAGTATGGTTTTCCGATACCCTCCTCGCTCAGGCGGGGCCTCCGTGGAGGTGTGGGAGGGGCACGAAACATTAAATAGTATGGTTTTCCGATACCCTCCTCGCTCAGGCGGGCCTCCCTGCAGGGGTGGGAGGGGCACGAAACCATGTAAATAGTATGGTTTTCGGATACCCTCCTCGCTCAGGCGGGGCCTCCCTGGAGGGGTGGGAGGGGCACGAACCATGTAAATAGTAGTCCCTTACTCTATTCTATTCCTCGCTTATTTTCTTATCTTTTGGTTTTACGATACCCTCCTCGCTTTGGCGGGGCCTCCCTGGAGGGGTGGGAGGGGCACGAAACCATGTAAATAGTATGGTATTCCGATACCCTCCTCGCTCAGGCGGGGCCTCCCTGCAGGGGTGGGAGGGGCACGAAACCATGTAAATAGTATGGTTGTCCGATACCCTCCTCGCTCAGGCGGGGCCTCCCTGGAGGGGTGGGAGGGGCACGAAACCATGTAAATAGTATGGTTTTCCGATACCCTCCTCGCTCAGGCGGGGCCTCCCTGGAGGGGTGGGAGGGGCACGAAACCATGTAAGTAGTATGGTTTTCGGTATGGAGTGGTATGGAATGGTATGGTAGGTATGGTATGGTACGGTATGGTATGATTTGGTATGGTATGGTACTGGAGGTATGGTATGGTATGGTACGATGTGGCACTGGTGTGAAATATGGTATGCTATGGTACGCCATGGTATGGTAGAGGAGGGTATCGGTACGTATGGTGTGGTATGGTATGGTATGGTATGGTATGGTATGGGTGGTAGTACTATGGTTTTGGCGGTTTTGGGATGGTTGTGTGTGTAGGAATAATATTGTTTTGCTAGTATGGGAAGATGGAGCGGGAGGTGGGTGGAAGGAGAGGGTGTTCTGGGAAACAAGAACCCCACTCAGGATTGTGGGGAAAAAAAACAGTTCTGGCTGCTGATATTCTTAATTAGTTATCCCGCCCCACTCAATCATTTTGGGGGGTCCGGGGGGGGGCGATTTTTTTAATCGTTTCCCCCCGTGGCCACCCTCAACATGCTCATCCTCTTCATCGCCGCGACCATCACCATCATCCGCACCATCATCACCATGATAATCAGCATCACCATCAGCAGCACAATCGGGCATACTCGTCATCATTACCATCGCCATCGCCAGCAGAATCGTCGTCACCATTATCATCACCACCCTCATCATCACCAGCGTCGTCATCATCATAATCACAACAATCATGACCACCATAATCATCAGCCCGTTGATAATCGTAAACGTCGCTGGCCTCATCAACCTAGTCATCAGAATCATCATCATCATCATCATCATCATCATCATCATCAGCATCCGTATCAGCATCAACATCCGCATCATCATCATCATCATCATCATCATCATCATCATCATCATCACCATCATCATCAGCATCAGCATCAGCATCAGCATCATCAGCAGTATCAACATCGTCAGCATCAGCCGCATCGCCATCATCATCATCATCATCATCATCATCATCATCATCATCATCATCATCATCATCATCATCATCATCATCATCATCATCTGCAGCACCATCACCATCAACGTCACCATCAGCATCATCATCACCATCATCATCATCATTCGCATCACCATCAGCATCAGCATCAGCAGCATCATCATCATCCTCACCATCGTCATCCTCGTCAACATCATCATCATCATCATCATCATCATCATCATCATCAGCAGCATCATCAGCAGCATCGTCAACTTCATCCACCTCCTCCTCCTCCTCCTCCTCAGCATCATCCTCCGTCTTCTTCTGTGCTGGTTTGGACACGTTCTGGCGGAGGAGCCTCAGAATGTAAAGGGGGAGCGCTGAGGGCGTGGGGCGATCTGGGGGCCAAGCGAGCCATCTCACGGGAACGTCTTGGGCTCTTGGGGCCCTCTTGGAGGGTACTCTGGCACTCCGATGTTGTTCTTGCCCGCTGCTCCCCCTCTCCCTGTCCGCACCGCTAACGTATTCCACGTCCCTCCCCATCGAACAAGCATCCTCTGTCTGCCTTTCCCCCTGCTCCTACGCCCTCCCCGCGCAACCTTCCCCACCAGAATAAAGAGCGAGAGAAAAGGCACAAGTGGGAGGAGCGGAAACGGACGACGCTCGACTCTTCAACACAGACCAGAAATCAAGATCCGAGCCACATCCTTCGACCTTTTGGGGGGCACCACCGTTAGAGATATTTGCACCTCGCCGAACCCCATCCGCGAGAAATGCATATGCACGCGATGAGCCACAGGGTCTGGCTCCCACAACCGGCCACCAAGCGGCGTACAACAGGCAACGCAGCATCCTCGCAAAGCTAATACTGTGACACTCTAAAGCGGTGCCGAACAACGTCCTGAAACGCGCGGGAAAGTGCACGCCATAGCGACTCTGGGTAACCCGTCAGGGCCCCGCGTGTCTGGGCGCGGCGCCGCGAACCAGTAGAAACATTAACCCCCCGCAAGAAATCGGGGCCTGAAGATCAACGGAAGCGCTGGCATCCTTCTGCCAGGGGCCTCGATCCCCTGGGAAGAAGAGGAGGAGGGGAAGCGCGCGCGGGGCTGCACTGCGCCCGACCCACCCGCATCACTGAGGTTCTGCCCCAAGGGGAGGTCGCAAGGCGCATACCAAGGGTACAGCAGGGGGGCCACATGCGAACCCCTTACCACCCACGATTTCTGAGGGGGAGGGTGGGGTTTACTCCGCTCGGAAGCTCCCGAAGTGAACCCCACCCTCCCCCTCAGAAGTCATGGGTGGTAGGGGTAGGGTTCGCATGTGGTCCCCATAGCGGGGGTCGTGCGAAGTCCCCACCGAGCTCGCACAAGTCACTGCCCAAAACTTTGGTATAGCAGTTTGCAGCGAACACATCATCAACAACATCATCAACATCAACACATCATCATCATCATCATCATCATCATCATCATCATCATCCTCATCCTCATCATCATCATCATCATCATCATCATCAGCAGCAGCAGCAGCAGCAGCATCATCATCAGCAGCAGCAGCAGCAAACCGACGAAAAAAATCCCCACGTGCCCGGTAGACGGAATCGCCTCAGGACGGGCCGAAGAGGCAAGGATGAAGGGCAGGAGCGGTCAACATCAAATCGATAGACTGGATCGGATCGGAACAAGCATCGAATCCGGCCGCATCGGCTGGGAGTCCCAATCGAACCTAATAGGCCGCGTCAGGATGCCCTATAGAGCAATGCAAGCATCGGGACGTATCCGAGTGTCAGAATATCAGAGAGCGAATCGGATCGGGCTGACCGAAATCGATACCGAATCGAATCGATCGGATCGGAAGGAACCTTGAAGGGTCCCGGCCAATTCAGCCCTGGTACACTTGCCATACTGTCGGGGCGTTGACCTAAGGAACCCTAAATAAGGAACGAGGCCCCTTTTTTCCATAAGTTAAACTTCGATGTCACATCGAAAACCTAAGGAAAACCTGAGGCAAGCTGCGAAACACTTAAGGAACGCGGAGCCCCTCCCCAACCAAAAGGGTTCCTTCTTCAGGGCCCCGACTGTATAGGTAAAGGGGGAAAGGGGTCCTGAGGGAAACGGATCCTGGACCCCAGGGGGCCTTCCCCAGGACCAGCTCTTCATCCTGAGCCGTTCGGCTACAGGCAAGAGTGACCCTAGGCAAGACCGACCTTTGATGCGCGGCTTTGCGGGGTCGCATGGGGGCCGAATCCAAGCAATCCAAGCGCGCCAGCCGGTGCTGGCAGGACACCTTTGGGCCTGCACGGAAGGTCACTCCGGCGAAGGGCCACTGTTGAGCGTGGCCGAGTCGTTACCTAACGGTCCTGGGGCCCAGGGAGGCCCGCGGGAGGCCACACAGCGCGACAGAATGCAGGACCCCTTCTCATCTTCGCGCCGATGCAGCAGCTTCACGTCGCGGTGACATCGGCGATGGCTTCTGACACCGCGTGGATCGTTCAGCCTTGAACGATCACGGCTTTCCGATCGCGCAGATCGTTCGGTATCGATCGATTCCGGGCCATCGGCGGCGTTCAATCTTGAGCCAAGGCCGTCCACGCCGACAGCACGGCCGAAAACCGACCGCCACGACACAGAAACTGAAACTGGCCGAAACCCACGAGCCGCAAGCAACCCCGAAGGGCGCGGCGACGCAGCAACGACACGACCACCGACCGAACCAGGCGAAACATTTACACCCTGCGAAATGCTTAATAAATCGTGGGTTAAGAAATTGATAGTCTCAGAATTTGAAAAAAACAAAAAAATGCTGAAAAATTAGGTTTTCCATTGAAACAATAAGAATAATCAAGACTCTGGCCGAAACCTCACGTTTTCTTAAGCATCGCCTAGGGTGTACGGCGCAGCCGAACCGACCGAACCGCGGACACCCTTGGCAGGCGGCTGCTCGGCCCATCGATCTCCTCCTCTAAGGCGCCTACAGCCTCCTAGAGACACGCCGCCGACACAGACAGCTACTACTCCTACACCTTTTCCTCCCTTTACCTCCTCCTCCTCTCATACTCTCCTCCTCATCCTCTCCTCCCTCCTCCTCTCTCCTCCTCCTCCCTCCTCCCTTCCTCCTCCTCTCTGCTCATTCCTCCCCCTCCTCCTCCTCCTCCTCCTCCTCCTACCTCCTCCTCTCCCTCCTCCTCCTCCTCGCCTTCCTCCTCCTCTCCTCCTCCTCCTCCCTCCTCCTCCTCCTCCTCTCCGCCCCTTTTCCTCCTCCCTCCTCCTCCTCTCCTCCTTCCCTCACCTCCTCCTTCCTACCCTCTTCCTCCTCTCCTCCTCCTCCTCTCCTCCTGCTCATCCTCCCCCTCCTCCTCCTCCTCCTCCTCCTCCTCCTCCTCCTCCTCCTCCTCCTCCTTCAATCGACCGTGGCCCCGCGCGCGGGGGGCCTTCAGGGCGCCCTCGGCCTCCGGCAGTGCGGCGAGGGCGTCCTCGCAACGCGCGCCGCAGGGGCCGCTGCTTCAGCGCCGTGGCAGCTTCGGTCGCCCTCGTCTGTCGTCGGTCGTCCTCGTCGTCGGCGTCGTCGTCGGTAATCCGTCGTCGGTCGTCGGTCGTCGCTCGTCGGTTGTGGTCAGCCGTCGTCGGTCGTGGTCAGTCGTCGTCGGTCGTGGTCGGTCGTCCTCGTCGTCGTCGGTCGTCGTCGGTCATCGGTCGTCGTCGGTCGTCGGTCGGCGGACGCCGCCGTCGTCGTCGTCGACGTCGTCGGTCGTCGGTCGTTAGTCGTCGGTCGTCGGTCGTCGGACGTCGATCGTCGGTCGTCTGTCGTCTGTCTTCGTTCGTCGGGCGTCGGTCGTCGGTCTTGACGTCGTCGCCGTCGTCATCGTCGTCCTCGTCCTCGTCCTCGTCCTCGTCCGCGTCCGCGTCCGCGTCCTCGTCCTCGTCCTCGTCTGTCGTCGTCGTCCGTCGTCGTCGTCGTCGTTGTCGGTGTGGTCGTCCTCCTCATCCTCCTCCACCTCCTCTTCCTCCTCCTCCTCCTCCTCCTCCTCCTCCTCCTCCTCCTCCTCCTCCTCCTCCTCTTCCTCTCGCCGCCGAGCGGGGTCCCGCTAGCCCATCCAGCCCTCAAGTTCTGTCCCACTCCCGCGGCTTTGGCATGTGCGGCCACTGGGTCCAGGCGTGCGCGAGGGGAAATGGCGAGTGTCTACGCACGGGCAGCTACTCTGCAAGAACCACGGCTGTGGAGAGGTCCGCGCCGGCCGCATCTCTGCAGCCGCAGACGTCGCGAAACTGGCCAGGCAGCAGCAGGATCCGCGCTTCTCGTCCTCAGCAGCCTGGCAGGCCTTGGTCGCCCACCAGGGTGCGAAGGCGATCGCGCTTCGCGCGTCGCGCCCTGGGCTGCAGAAGCTGCCCTGCTCCAGAGGGGCGCCGCGAGATCGTCGCGCGGGCGCGATGCGCGAAGTTCGGTGATCTAGAACGGTCTGCCGAGGGAGTGCAACTTCTGCCGTCGCATTCGAGTATCGAGGTTCAGGTTTCAAGGGCGTTTTGGGGGGCGAACAGCTTGACTCTGTGACTCAAACGCAAAATGAATTGCATTTGCCCGCTGGATAGTTCCTACGCTCCACGCACGAGAAGAATAGGATAAGCACGATACCTAGCACGATGAGGGCGTGATTTCGATCGGACCAGTGCGTTTTGAGCGCTCTGGTGGATCCTGGGTGGATTCTGGGGGGCAGGAGGAGTCGCATTCCTTTTGCGCGGGGGGATCGATCGAGCGGCCTTCCCACGTCCTAATCCTCCTAGCCCTCCCCCCTTCTCCCGTCCCGTGTCTGTCTTTTCCTCGCCTCGTCCTCGTCGTCCTCTTCTTCATCCTAGTGGCCGTGCTTACCTTCTTCTCCTCGTGGAGTGGGGGGTAGGATCGATCAGGCAGGCGAATGCAACTCCTCCTGCCCCTGAACCCCGAGAGCTCACCAGAGCGCCCCCCCAAACGCCCGAAATCCCCCCGATCAACGAGCCTCGATACTCGAATGCGACGGCAGAAGTTGCACTCCCTCGGCAGACCGTTCTAGATCACCGAACTTCGCGCATCGCGCCCGCGCGACGATCTCGCGGCGCCCCTCTGGAGCAGGGCAGCTTCTGCAGCCCAGGGCGCGACGCGCGAAGCGCGATCGCCTTCGCACCCTGGTGGGCGACCAAGGTCTGCCAGGCTGCTGAGGACGAGAAGCGCGGATCCTGCTGCTGCCTGGCCAGTTTCGCGACGTCTGCGGCTGCAGAGATGCGGCCGGCGCGGACCTCTCCACGGCACCAACTCTTCGCAGAGCAGCTGTCCCGACGAAGAGACTGCCCGAGGCAATACCCCATCGCGCACGCGTGGGCCCAGTGGCCGCACGCGTGAGCGACGCTGGCGTGGGACAGAATTTTGGGGATGGACGGAGGTTCTTTCAAAGGAGGGGGGGAGAGGAGGCAGAAGGAAGATGACGATGACAACTACGACGACGACGACGACGACGACGACGACGACGACGACGACAGACGACAGACGACGGACGATGACGATGACAAGGACGAGGACGAGGACGAGGACGAGGAGGGGAGGGAGAGGGGAGGAGGAGGGGAGGAGAGGAGGAAAAAGGCAGAGGATGAGGACAACGACGGCGGCGACGACGAGGAAGAGGAGAAGGAGAATGAGGACAGGGAAGGCAAGGGTCAGAAGCACGAGAAGTAGGAGGAGGACGAGGAAGGGGACGAGAAGTAAGAGGATGACCAGGGGTCACACAGGTCACCCTCGTCGAACTCTAGCCGCTGGGAGCCCAGCGCTCCCGCCTGCGCGCAGACGAGCGGGCCAAGAGAGAGCTCCGCATCTCGAGGAAGACGAAAGGCTCAAGCATGGAAGGGCTCCAGCACGCTTCGGGGCGGTAGCCTGCTCGAGGCATGGGAAAACGCATGGTCAAGCTACTGCTACAAGCAACGCCAAATAAGGAAAACTGCATCTAGCCGGCCCAACTAAAAACAAACGTCAAAAAACAAGGAACGCACACGCACACACACACACACACACACACACACAAAACAAAAAAACAAAAAAAAAAATAAAAAAAAAAAAAAAAAAAAAAAAAAAAAAAAACACGGAAGCACACAAACAAACAAACAAACAAACAAACAAACAAACAAACAAACAGCAAACAGAAAGCCATCAACAACAAACAACACACCAAACATATAGAAAAGCAGCACCACTAATTCAACACAAACATCAACAAACAACGTCATCCGAAAACTGCACACCCCACAACCGAACCACTCAACAAGACAAAAGCCCCCCCTCCCCCCAAAAAAGCAAACGAACAGGACAAATGCTCAGGGAGCGCTGGAGGAGCAACCATGGAGGGACCTGAGGAGTAGCAAGCCCCCTCCGAACCCGAGAGGATCCGTACTTCAGAGACTCGACTGCGTGGTCGCTCCTCCGCATCCCATCGACACAGGTGCCACGCGCTGGCCGGGCCGGAGAAAGGCGGCAAAGCACGTCCTCCTCCTCAACCTCCTGCTGCTGCTGCTGCTGCTGCTGCTCCTCCGTCTCCATCCTTCTTCCTCATAAACAACTCCTCCTTGGCACACCCCGGGACGGGTCGGTGGAGCGGGCCGGGCGTTTCGCCTGAGAGTTCCTCTGCATCTATGATTCTGAAATTTTCAAAATGAGGGTCGTTTTCAAAATGTGGTTCTCGCAGTGGCGCCGCGCACACATGCGCCTCAAAAGTTTGCAAAAGCTTCACGGATGGAGGGCAGGCCATTGTCGAAATGTGGCGCTCGGCGCTCGCTTTAGCGCCGCACACATTCATGGATGGAGGGCGGGCCGCACAATGTGGCTCTCGCCATGACGCTGCGTACATGCATCTTCAAAATGTGCAAGAGCTTCACGGATGGAGGGCGGCTCCGTTTGAAAATGTGGGTCTCGCCGTCGAGCCGCGCACATTCGTCTTAACAGTTTACAACAGGTTCAATGATTATTATGGCTGTCGTCCCAGAATTGGTGCTCTGGAACGATTTAGGGCCGTCAGGTCGCAACTCGCTTTCAAGGTTTTCAGACGGTTGTCTTCCAACTTGGGCTTTTCCCGCAGTGAAAGATAAATCCTTATAAGAGACTCTGAAGAAGAAGCTTGGAGGGAGGGTTTAATACAATATCGTTGATGACTCTTGGGTTTACACTGGTCATCCTCCTCGTCATCATCATCCTGCTCATCTTCCTTCTCCGCGTCCACCTCCCGTCTTCCCCTCGCCTTCCAACTCATCCTCCTCGTCCACATTCTCCCTCTCTTCATCCTCCTCCCCCTCCTCGTCCTCGTCCTCCTTCTCCTCCTCCTCCTCCGCTTCCGCCTCCGCCCCCTCACGCGCTCGAAATCGGGTCTCCACAGGGCCTGTCTGGGCAGCCCGTTGTGAACACATGTGAAAAACGCCCCCGCCCCCCACATCAGGAACTTTAGACGAATGGGACCGTCAAACGGCGCGCGAACTGAGAGGGGAAACTGCTCGACGGTCAGCCAACGACAACGCCGCGACATTCCATGCGAACGCCCGTGCAACGGTGGCAGAGCACTTCGAGCACGTGGTGGTCCGAAGCGAAGGAGGACACGGCCGAGGGCGGCTCCCGCTCTGCACCGTCGCTCGACGCGCGCGCGCGCGGGCGGCTGCGGAGCGGCTGCTGCGCCACGTGCCGGTGCGGGAGGAGCGGCGGCCGGCCCAGGAGGCGGCGCAGGGCGGGCTCGTGCGAGGGCCGGCCCTCTGGTGGGCCTCGAGGTCCGGGCTGCTGCATGGCTCGCTGGACGCGGAGCTGCTGGTGACATCCTCCTCTTCACGTCAGACTGCATCCTTGCTGTGGCCCAGATGCGCTCGAGGACTACCAGGGAGCCGCACGCGAACCCTACCCCTGCCCCCCACGATTTCTGAGGGGGAGGGTGGAGTTCAATTCGCTCGGGAGCTCCCGAGCGAAGTGAACCCCACCCTCTCCATCAGAAATCGTAGGGGCCAGGGGTAGGGTTCGCATGTGGCTCCTTAACTACCCTCAGCGTAATTGGCGCCGAACTCATGCCGTGGCAGGCATCCACCCCGAGGGCGCCAAAGATGCCCCTGCCATTCCAGTCCCCCGGCTCGAGGTGACAGACCAGGCCGTGCAATGGCTGGGCCTCATCTGCATCTCACAACGTCTTGTGGACTTTTTCGGGCCTCCACCTCTCACCCCGAGAGCCGCCCCGCAAAACGTCAATCGAGGCCTTTTGGTGACTCTTTGAGGGGGAACGTTTGCTGATCCTCCTGGCTCCCGGGGTGAAGTTTTCGGTGATGGGCCTCCTGCCTCACGGTCGGTCTGACCACGAGGCATGCGTCGGTGATGTCGCGTCCCCCTCGCTCGACTGTGCCACTTGCCTCTGGCGTCGGCATGGTCACGTGCTGTGTGATAGGCTGTGCTATCTATGTTTTTTCCATCGCTCGTTAAATTCCCGAACCC